CCCACCCCCCGTCGGGGAGAAAAAGCACAATTCGTCGGGGAGAAAAAAATTATATGTATTTTTTACATAATTATTAGTAGACTCTAAAATCGCGGATTAAATAAGTCTTTGAAACCCCTAAATTGCCAAAATTTTCGGGGGCTTCACCCCCAGGACCACTTTCCAAACCTTTTAATCGAAGCTCGACCACGCCCACTTTGCTTTCGTCGGGGAAATCTGACCCCTCGTCGGGTCATCGTCCCCCTCCCGCCGCTGGGGCATCGGTCTGCCCGTCGGGGACCTCGCCCCCCACTCCCGACGCGCCACCCCTGGTTTTAGCCTACAGTGATCTGAATGAGTGATATGAATCAGCAATTTTTATTATTTTCGGGAAGGCATTCCACAAGGTGGCTGCAATGGAGGAGAAGGTCCGGGAACCATATGTGGTGGTTTTCTTTACTTTGAGGAAATTTAGTGAAGAGGAACAGAGCGCGCGTTGTATACTGATCGAGAAGTTCAATCACATACAGTACATACAGCGAGATTGTTCAGAAATTTGTAAGTTAACAGAAGAATATTATATATAATCCGTATTTTGATGGGTAGCCAGTGAAGCTAATGAGGTTACCTACACATTTAGATACTTGAATCAAACAAAAATTACAAAAGTTTTTCTTATTGCTGATTCTGGTTTATAAGGTTGTGCTAAAATGACATATTCAAAATGGGGTGCGAATTTCAACCCAGAAGTCACATAATTTGCATATTATGTAAGTTATCTTTCGCCATTAAGGGAAAATCGCAATTCGCAATAACTCTGCATCTAAACATTCAATCATGACAAGTAAAGCATACCAATGTTTTCAGGGTCAGAGAATATTATTAGCATATTTGTGAATTAATTATATGTATATAATTACGTTAATTATGAAATTAGCGGCAGCCATTACAAGAAAATTGATTTTCCGCAGTTATTTTAGTCTCAAACATTCATTCATGACAAATAAAGTATCCAAAGTCATGTTTTCATGGTTAGGAAGTATGGTTAGCACATCCGTGAATAAATTATATGCACAGGAGCCATATACTGCCCTGATTCAGAAAAGGCATTAACTACATTTTTTTTCAAAATTGAGATTTTTGTATTACATGTATCCTGAGGGTATAATCTATCACCTTAATTCACTAGAAAACCAAAAATATTACTCTAAATATGATATTTATTTTTTAAAATGGGCATTATCTACACATACCACTACAAATAATTTAGAATAAGGCATTAAACTAAACACCACTCAGTACAGCATTAAACGGTTGACTTCACACACTGGCAGAAAGCAGTTATCCAATTAGGTGGCAGTGTGATGAATATTAATTAGATTACCTTAAGATAATGCCTAGTTTGTTCTACTTTAGCTTTATTCTAAGGATTAACTCGAAAAAAAGCATTATCTACATTGTTTTTCTGATAACCTGTTCGAATGATGAATAATAAACTATGTAAATATTAATTGCGAAATTCTATGCATTTTTAATTTGATGTACTGTAAATATATTCCTTATTGTTTTATTCAATGTGCATTACTATTTTAATTTTTATAAAAACCTAATTTATTAACAATTCTTGAGCAATATAAATAATAAATAATAATTTTATACCGTATGCTGTATCCTTGGTTTTCACGTTTACATATGAAAAATAATTATTTTTAATGGTTTTATAATATAAAAGTGGTGCTTTAAATATGTTTTTAGTGCCTAGTGAAAATTTAGGAATAACATTTCAGTAGCATTATTATCTGATGACCATAACGACGATAAATAAGGATGATAATTGTGATTATAAAGATAATTGAAATAGGTTGGTGTGGCATCTGATTAGAAACATAGCGGTTGAACATGTCCTAAAATATGGATAACTTGTCAATTTACCTCCAACCTTGCATATAAAACGCAAAGGAAGGGAAACAGGAGCTAAAATGGATTAATTCCGGATTTTTTTTTTTAAACCTAAATCCTGAAAAAATTTAAGTAGGCCACGCCTCCATACAAAAGATGATTTTACTTTAATTTCTTATTAATTCACAAGCAGATAGTTCTGATTCTTCTGCACTCACACCCACAATTAAAACTTTTACATACATTCATTAACCAATTTCAACAGCAGAATGTAATCTATATCTGACGATGTCAATTACCAAATCACCATACCATAAAACCTCGAATTGAAGCCCAATAGGCTTAATCTCGAGAAGAATCCCACATCTTCAGTTTTCAAAATTAGCCTTGAAAAAAAGCCCATTCAAGAAGCCCAGGGCCCGGATTTATCGAACTAGAAATCTGCTTAAATTTGTCTCAAGCCCATTTTTTTTTTTTTTTTTGCTTAAGTCAGATTTGTCAATATTGCTTAGCTTAAAATTGCTTAAATGCTTAAAATTAAAAATTCGACTGTACACATAAGACGGTTTTAAGCTAAGATTATTTTGATAAGATGATTTGCTAAATCACCTTTAGATATTTGCTTAAGGACATTTAGACTTAAGACATTGCTAAAGTGAGATTGATAAATCCTGGGGCAGGGCTTCAATTCGAGATTTAACGGTATCATAATGTACTTAAATTCAAACAAAACTTTCTTATATAATGTAAGAAAATCAATAATTATACTCGTACTATCTTATTTTTAAATAAAGAGGTGTCGTACTACCTTTTACATTGTCATAAATAAAATAAACTCTATATAAATACATACATACATAATAAAATTTACAATTAAAGTGGAAAAGAATAATCTGGATATATTGTTACAATATATACGTTGCACATAAAATACGTATAATTTTCATTTCAATACAATTGTTTTCTATATATATTCCAAAGAACCGATAGAAAATGAAATTTGTAAATAAGGATAATACTGTAAAATATTTGATTGAAAGTATAATATTATTTATGACGTAATAATAATAATAATAATAATAATAATAATAATAATAATAATAATAATAATAATAATAATAATAATAATAATGCAGAGTCTTCGTTCAGACTTACAGAATAAGTACCTAAACTTTAAATTCACATCAAACCACCTTATTTTGCCAGCTAGGGTCCCTATCATCTATCCCTACCACTTTACTTTACCTTCGTGCCCCAATTAGAGCCCCCATTATTTCTCTAATTTAATAACAATCAACAAATTTACGACATGTCTTAGGAAGAAAGAGTTCTTGAAAGCCGACGGAAAAAGCAAAATGTACTTTTCTGCCTTATATACCATTCATCTTCTTTTGCTATTATCAATGTCATTATTTATATGATGACGAATTAGTTTCTGTAAATGTGTCGTGTGTCGTCGAATTGCTCATTGAATAATCTGGGGGAAAAATCAGGAAACAAAATAATAGTCATATCGTACCATTGGTGTGTCCTTTTAATGATATTTCTTCTCTTTGAATGCAAAATGCCATTAATTGGAGAGTTTGAAAATGCAACATTTTAAACAAAAATTGAATGCGGCATGCAAGGCACTTGTAGCCAATGATCCACTCCAAAATGTGGTTAAAACATGGCCTTTCCGCATAATCAATCCATAATTTTTTAGCCCGTCTTAATGATTCAACTTTAAATAAAAGTGTAAACATCCGGATGTCTCCAACCAGCGATTGGTTTTACGCAACGCATAGCCTTTTTCATTTAGCTCACTCTGAGCGCGTGCATACTTGCGCACATCATGTGCGCGCATGAGTTTACTGTCCACACATAGGAAAGTAACCTTACCATCTTTGCTGTCCGAACTTGATTGTAAATCAAGAAGCATAGTTGGCCCTGCGTTACCGTCCTTACTTCGGTTCCTGTGAGAGAAAATGTTATCATTAAAATACAATTCATTATGAGTTGCGTGAAATATTTGCTAATATTACTAGTATTGTAATTATGCTGCATTAAAGTTAATACGTGTCATTGTAAAAGTTAAAAAAAAAATGTATTTTCTTGTTCTCCTTAAAATTGATTTTTTTTATTAATTAAATTTATAAAATTATATTTTGAGATTACTGCTGTTAGAGTGTTCGCCTGATTTAGAAAATTAATATATGGCAAAAATGTAGAATTCTAATATATCCAATAATTCGCCAGAGTTACAAGTACAACAGAAACAACAAAAGCAACAACAGCAACAATGATGATGATAATGATAATAATGATGATGGTGATGGGGATGAAAATAATGATGATGACGTCACCTGGATCTTATGATTCGTATGGTGGATATTACAAGGATTATCACTAATGCACTGCCAACAACAATTGCGATTATGTCACCGCCTTAAAAAGAGAAGAATAATATACTAATTAATAACGATGATAATAAATAATAAGATTTATAAAGCGCAAATATCTACTACAGTAGTGCTCAAGGCGCTACAGAAGGGCGAAACCAAAAATTACCGTGAACATTAAAGCTACAAGAAAAGAAACGCCTCCAACATCACAGCAAAAATTAAATATTTCTAAAATAATGATATATAAAATATAATTGTTTAATATTGGGCCTAATGCTAATGATTATAAATTTAAGTAAAATATAACAGGTATAATGTAAGTACAATTATGATGATAAATGATAAAGAAAACGATAATGAGTATGATGATGATGGAGGTGGTGGTAGTGATAATAATATTGATAATGGTAATTATATTATCTGAAAACATTATTGGAACATCGGACAAGGAGGTTAATGTGAATTTATTTGTCTGTATGTTTTTTTTTTGTTTGATATTTACTTGATAGAAGGATTGTGCAAAAACAAACTTAGTTATATTTTGTGTTGAAAATTCAAATGTCAAGGTCACGGAAATTAAAAAAAATGACACTATTAAAAGTTATGCAAAATATAATGAATGGATTATCTTAATAATTAATGGAGCTGTACATAGTCATTTAAGCAATAACCACAAGTGATTACATTTTGAAGCTAAATTGTGATTCAGTGTAAATCTCACCGACTATTCCTGTTGCGGGTGTACTACCTGGGGCGGGTGTACTACCTGGGGTGGGTGTACTACCTGGGGCGGGTGTACTACCTGGGACGGGTTTACTCCTATGAACCGGTCGTTGCGGTACAGAGAGAATTCCAGAATAATTTCCAAATCCATTTCCTGTACTTGCAGCAATCTGTAACCATTTGATATTATTGATTATAATATTAGTATGAGAAATATCAGTATTTTATATATATATATATAAATCATCAAAGAAAGGTAAATACAGTGTTCGAAATAAAGGACTTAATAAATACACCGTGTAGCATAGCTCTCAACGAATGTAGTCCTGTAAATAAATGAATAAAGAAATTGTGTAATAAAATGCCTCTGGCGGGACTCAAAAAAGCGCTGTCGTCATTATTTCCCTATCTCACAATCAAATGACCACCCTTACACGCTGCGCGCCACACGCTATTATTATGTGTCCCATCATTCCTTTATAGTCCAAACCTGTACATGTTGTACAAGTAGTAACATAACATACCATGGAATTGCAAAGCATTATGACAACATTACATAACATAAAAGCCATATTACAATAATAAAGCCTGTCTCTTATACACATCTAGATGTGTATAAGAGACAGGGATTTATCATTAAAAAAAATTGGTCTTGCATGCATGTAATTATTTGTGTGAAAATTATTTTAGTACAGCAAAAAATAAAGAAAACTTCGTTCAAAGTTACCCAGTGGCTTAGTTGTGAAATTGATCGAACTGTTTGTCCCATTAACTTCCGCAAATGATGCATAAATATTAAATGTGTAAAAAGTGCATGGATCAAACACATTGTCGAAATCAACATTCGTTTCATATGTTGCAGTCCAGAGTATAGTCCCCGGTACTTCATAATAGTACGTCACCCTGTTGTGACTCTCATAACTCGAACATTGAATTGCATGCCAAGAAACCCTCACTGAATCTCCCTCCAATGTATGTGACCCGTTTAAAATTGTAGGTGCTAGTAAATAGGAGAATAAACATTATAAAGTAATATTATAATTCAATATATAATATCATATGATATATGATATGATCGATATGATATGACATATAATAATACTATGATATGATAATATGATTTTTCATTTTTTTTTTTAAAGTTAAACTCTCGATTCTTACCCATTGGCTTCGTTACGAAATTGATCGAACTGTTTGGTCCAGTCACCTCCGCTAACGATGCATGGACATTAAATGTGTAAAAAGTGCATGGATCCAATTCCTTGCTGTCAAAAACAACTTAGATGTGTATAAGAGACAGGGTCTAGTGTATGTCGAGTTAAACTTTCTTCGTGCTAGAGATGAGAGATTCCTATATTCGTTTGTAGTCGTCGTACGATCGTTATTTCTGGTAATTTTAAATGTTGCCCTGACAAAATAGAATCGTTGCTAAGCGCACCATAGTGAACTATGTAGCTATCAAAAGGACAAAATTACGTATCATTGGTCAATAATGCAGTAAAGCAGGAAAAATATTGTTGGAAAATATTATCTATCCGTATACAGTGTAGGAAAATTACATGTAAAGGAGAGGATTACACAAATTTTATATAATTTGAGAATTGATTTAGTATACTCAATTACATAATATCCCATAACATTGCACTAAAATAATAATAATAATAATAATAATAATAATAATAATAATAATAATAATAATAATAATAATAATAATAATAATAATAACATTCATACCTTTACTGTATAAGATAGATTTATAGAAATTTCATCAAATTGAACAAACGTTTGCTCTGTATGTTTCTTTGCAACCACAGTTTCATTCTCATAGCTGAGTACCACACGGTATTGAGATATAGTGCAATCTTGGACCATCGACCAATTTACGTAAATAGATGACGCATTCCAGATAACCGATTCAATCGACGGTGCTACAGTAAGGTGATGATAAGGATAACAATGATGATGATGATGATGACGACGATGATGATGGTAATGATGATGATTATGATTTTTATGATGATGATAACGATGACAATGATGACCATGAAGTAAGATGTATCTGCAATATTTAATGATGATTGCAATAACAATAATAATAGTGAAGATAATGATGAGGAGGATGATGAAAACGATGGTGATGTTAATAATAATAGTATTAATAATAATAATAATAATAATAATAATAATAATAATAATAATAATAATAATTACATTACATAGGTAAAATAATAAAAATAACCATATTTAATACATGAAATCGGCCTAATAGGTCAATGATTAGGATTTATCATTAAAAAAAATTGGTCTTGCATGCATGTAATTATTTGTGTGAAAATTATTTTAGTACAGCAAAAAATAAAGAAAACTTCGTTCAAAGTTACCCAGTGGCTTAGTTGTGAAATTGATCGAACTGTTTGTCCCATTAACTTCCGCAAATGATGCATAAATATTAAATGTGTAAAAAGTGCATGGATCAAACACATTGTCGAAATCAACATTCGTTTCATATGTTGCAGTCCAGAGTATAGTCCCCGGTACTTCATAATAGTACGTCACCCTGTTGTGACTCTCATAACTCGAACATTGAATTGGATGCCAAGAAACCCTCACTGAATCTCCCTCCAATGTATGTGACCCGTTTAAAATTGTAGGTGCTAGTAAATAGGAGAATAAACATTATAAAGTAATATTATAATTCAATATATAATATCATATGACATATGATATGATCGATATGATATGACATATAATAATACTATGATATGATAATATGATTTTTCATTTTTTTTTTTTTAAAGTTAAACTCTCGATTCTTACCCATTGGCTTCGTTACGAAATTGATCGAACTGTTTGGTCCAGTCACCTCCGCTAACGATGCATGGACATTAAATGTGTAAAAAGTGCATGGATCCAATTCCTTGCTGTCAAAAACAACTTCTGTGTCATACGTTGAATCTCCGAATACAGTACCCGGTATTTCATAATGGTACTTTACTGCGTGCTTACTGTCATAACTCGTACATTTCACTGCCTCCCACAAAACGCGCAGTGATTCTCCCGCCGATGTATAAGACCAGCTTGAAATCGTAGGTACTACGAGAACAAAATATGTTTGTTTTTGAATTTTTTGTTTGCCATTGGTTCATATATACTGTATATTATGTTTTAAATTTCAAGTATGAACGATGACCGATAGTGCACTCACGCACCATTAGATCAAATCAAATTAAACTTGCGCGCTTACATTTTAGTACTTTGTTGTGGATCTTATATTTATATATATCATCAAAAAAAGGTAAATACAGTGTTCGAAATAAAGGACTTAATAAATACATCGTGTAGCATAGCTCTCAACGAATGTAGTCCTGTAAATAAATGAATAAAGAAATTGTGTAATAAAATGCCTCTGGCGGGACTCGAACCTGCGACCTCTCGCTGTCAAGGCGACAGAGCATCATAACCATTAGACCACGGAGGCTTCATGGT